TGCCCCATCCCTGGAAGTGTCCAAGGCCAGGCTGGATGAGGCTTGGAGCAACCTGGTCTAGTGGAAGGTGTCCCTGCCCATGGCAAGGAGTGGGACTGGATGATCTTTAAGGTCCCTTCTAACCCAAACCATTCTGTGATTCTATGTAAATCCATTATTTGACATTATAATTGTTAGGTTTTCAGAATTCTTTCAATTATTTGCTGTTGGTGTTTAGTTACCTGAAAACTGGGCGACCTGAGCTTCCCTTGTGCACCCACTGACCCTATCGGTATGGCAAGCTGGGAGCCTCTCCGGCCGGTTCCCTATCGCGATAGGTAGATCCTTTGGAATATGTGTATTTTTAGTGCTCGTTATTTAAAATGAAAACTGAGTGCCGGTGGTGCTGGTTCATGACAATATCATGGTTCTGGAGAGCTATAAGTTCAATTAAATGTATTATATGTGGGAGGAGTTAATGATATGACGATACATCTGGCTTTTGTCATTCTGGGTCTTTGACCAGCTGCTACATCTCTAGAAGTTGAATTTTTCTCTAACTGTATCTTTTTTTTTTTTTTTAACGCTGCCGTAGGAGCTAAAACTGTAAGTACTCTCTAGTTTTCACACTTTCTGGAAAACCAGGGGAGTGTAGGCACTGATGTGATACTTTTCACTAGGCAGATTATTGCACCGCTTCCTGATTTCCACAGGAAATAAGTGTATTTTTACAGTTGATTTAGTAAATTCAGCTGTGTCTCACTTAGATTTGAGATGGTTTTTTGATTTTGAGGGCACCTCCTGGTCATTAGAGTCCTCGATAATGCACCTCACCCGATGCGGGGGCTGCAGGTCCAGTGCTTGCAGCTTTGCCTACGGACTCGAGCAAAATCACCAATAATTAAAGTAAAAAGAGCCAGATTTTAGCTTTGGTTTTGTCAAATGGCCGTGCTCTTTCTACGTGAAATGTTAGTGGCTGTAATGCAAATTAAATAGTTGAAGGTGTGACAGTTGGAGCTGGTTTTCTTGTTATTCCCACTAGGGATTCTTCCTGAACTGGTTTAAGCTGTAACCTCTGAGTGTAACGTGACCTGTGTTGGATTAATGAAATACTCCCAATAAAACATCTCCATGAAGGCTGTAGGCCATGGTTTTTCCCTGGGATAACTTCAATGTGGCTGTAGAGCCAAGCGGAGCACACGCAGAAACCTGCTGTTCTCTTCAGGAGTCCTTATCGACCGAAGTAACCTAAAAACCCCTAAACCCGTTGTCCTACCAGTGCAGTCCGGCTGTGCTTTTCCCGTGGATCCTGTGCTGGCAGGTGACAGCGCTAGCTCTGGGTGGCTGCTCCCGCAGAGCGTGGGCGCCGCAGAGCCAATGTCTTTGTGCGCCACGGTTTGGATTTGGGTCTTTTAACCCTTTTACCCGCAGCCAGATTGCTGAAACACGCCAGCAGGCGTTGCCCTCTCTTCCCGTTACCAGCCAAGAATCCCATTTAAGTTGGGATTAATATTTTTTAAGGGTGATGCTGGCTTTAACGTAAGAATATAAAAATATCTTACAAATTATGTGCCCAGCAGCTGAGACAGGAGCATGAGGTGGCCTCAATCGCTGGTTTTTAATAACAGGAGCACACCCTTGTCCCTCAAAATACCCCGTGCAGGCTCTTCCGTGGCACTGGCCCGTCTTCTCTCCGCATGGCGTACGTTATTTTTCGCTGCCCGATGGTAACACCGTGGGAGCAGAGCTTACCCTGATGAGCCAACCCGAATTACTGTCGCTTCTGCCTTGCAGTGCGTGTGCTGGGGTTGACGTCGCTGGTAACAAGTATTGTTGGCAGCACTGGTTTGTTCCTGGTGTCTGCCCTATGAAGTGTTTTATAACTGGTTTAAAATGCAAGGGAAGAGTGTAAAGTAAAATAAAGACTTCAAAATAAGTTTCAATTTGGATATTTTACTTTTTTTAAGCTGCATCAGTGTTTTCAGCAGCTAAAAAAAATTTACTCCAATAAGAAAAAGGCATGCTTTTGCTTTTCCTAGTAACTTTTATAATTGAAATACAGTATTCCATTACTTTAATATTTTTAAGCTATACGCATCTAAATGAAATCTTTACAAAGAGAAGAGTGTTTACTTGTGATAATGGTTTTTACTGGTCTGTCAAGCCCTGGACTTGTAAAATCCCCTGGAAACAGCTGAATCTGTAAGTTGTCGACTGAAATCTGGAGGATGTTTTTATCTGTATGTGAATTTGTACCACTAAAAGCTTGTAAAATCCTCCGGAAACATTTGGACCTGTAAGTCATCGACTGAAATCTGGAGGATGTTTTGGCTGTATGTGAATTTGTACCACTAAAACTCACAGCTCTCAGTAGCTAAAAGGAGAGTTGGCTTATAAATACTTCACTTCAGACCCTTTTTTGTTTTAACTCCAGGAATCAGACCGTATTGTTGTTTGGCAGAGAGATAGTTACCTACTCGTTAGGTATTTGAGCAGTACAGTAAATTCTGTGCTTGGAAAGGTGTTTCCTATACCAGTTCCAATCTGCTCATGCTTGAAACTGCTTGATTTTTTTTTCTCTAGTAAGGTATGCCCAGAGCAATAATTTTCATCTCAGTAGATTTTTTTTTTTCTCACTAATAATATTCTCCAGCTCTTGGTCAGTTTTAGTTTTCCAATAACTGGGGTTTTTAAACTAAAATTGGGCCATAATTTTTCAGTCAGCTCCCTCTCCTGGCTTCCTAGTAGCAAAACACAAATGTAGACGTAAGCAATGACCTCTGAATATACTCAAGAATTAGGGCATCTTCCTTTTTTTTAGCCTGTCTTCCCAAATCAGTGCCTGGTTGGGAATATCTAACAAATTATTAAGGGCTAAACTTGGAAAAATATATTCTGCATTACCAGGGATTTGAACCAAACGTGATAGTTGGTTTTTTTTCCTGCCAGTTGTCTTCAAAAGTGAAATTTTGAGTGCCTTCAGCCAGTGCCTTTAATTTTTGAAGAGTAATGTGCAGAGTACTTGTCGGAACAGCACAAGGATTTTAGGAGGAAGCTTATTTTGACTTGCGAAACTGCGCGTGTTTAGGCAGTTTAATTTCTTTTGAATTAAAATTTAAACCAGAGGAAACGTGGGATGAACTGCTTAGGCTCTTAGCCATGAACAATAATGGCATGATAGCTTTGACACTCTTCTGTTACTTAAGAAATTACTAAAGTCTGATGCATGCCCTTGCTTTATTTAGTTTTGCTGCAACTACATTGTTGTGCTTATCTTTTAATGCTGCCAATCTTTGGAAGATGAGGACAAGGAAGCCTCCCTGCCCAGTAGAAAAAGTGTGGGTAGACAAGCACAAATACGATGAAGCGGAGAGACTCCATTACGAAAGAGAAGCGATGCTCGCTGCTGCGGCCCCGGAGGAGTGCCAGGAGGTCGAGGCTGTAAACGGAGTCTGCAATGACGACTCTGTTGAAAGTGAATTTAAAGGAGACCTGAAGAGAGCAAGGAATGGAAAGAAACAAAGGAAACGGAAGCGGTCTCCGAAGCCCAAAAATGTGCCCTCCAATTTGGACTCTGTTCTGACTGGTTTGTTAGCTGACCATGTGTGGTTTGAAAAGCCTTTATACGACCATGCTGAGAGCCTGTACAGGAAAAAATTAGTGGATTGCCAGAACCAGGAGGCACCTGAGACTGCACCAGCTGCTGAGCAGTCCCCTTTAGCGGCCAGGCCAAAAGCTGTCCAAGATGTTCCTAAGCCAAGGATGCTTTCAGCAGCCCTGCCCTGCTCCCATGGTATTCTGTCTGCCTGTCACCATCTTGTTCAGGGTGTCTGGGTCAACAAGTTTGACTTTGACAAGGCAGAGGAGATGTTCATTGAAAAATCTCAGTCCTTTGTTCCTCCAAATGTCCTAGCCATCCCGTCTGTGGACACTGGCCACGGGCTGAGAACGCCGGATGAAGGCTATGTTACAGCTCTGCCTACTCCTGCTACGCCAAGCTTGGCTCCAGACGCCGTTGCCGGTTCCGCTGCTTCCCTCATTACCAGCTTGCCCGGCTCCGTAGACGAGACGGTAAATGGTAAGCCGCAGACTTCAGGCTTGCAGGCTCTCGTCTCAGAGGTGTGGTTAGAGAAACCTCTCTACGATGATGCCGAGAAGAGCTTCTATGAGAATATGTTTGACGGTCCTCCCTCGGGCAGAGTCAGACAGCAGCAAGGTGGTTGCCCCGAAGAATCGAACCACCGCGAGGACAGGAAGGACCACAGCCTTGGAAAGGAAACGGGCATCAAAGATGTGGAGATCGCCACCAACCCTCTGCTTCCCGGTGATGCTGAGCAACCTCCGCCTACCTACTTCTTTCTGCATGAGGATAGTGAAACTGTGTGGCTTAATAAGCTGACGTATGACAGTGCTGAATCACGATACTACGCAGCCGAGGCTTTGAAAATGTCAAGAGCAGGAGAGACGACAGTGATACAGGAATCTGCAGCAGTAGAACCCTCCGAACCAGCTGAGATACAGGAATCTGTAGTAGTAGATACAGGAATCTGTAGTAGTGAAACCCTCCAAACCAGCTGAGATACAGGAATCTGTAGTAGTGGAACCCTCTGAACCATCTGAGAGCACAGCAATACAGGAATCTGCAGCAGCAGAACCCTCTGAACCAGCTGAGATACCAAAATCATCAGTAGTGGAACCCTCTGAACCAGCTGAGATACAGGAATCTGCAGCAGTAGAATCCTCCGAACCAGCTGAGACACAGAAATCCTCAGTAGTGGAACCCTCTGAACCAGCTGAGCTACAGGAATCTGCAGCAGTAGAACCCTCTGAACCAGCTGAGACACAGAAATCCTCAGTAGTGGAACCCTCCGAACCAGCCACTTACGCTTTAAGCGTACCTCCGCCAGAAACAAAGTAGGAGAAGTTGATTCTGGGGTAACGCTTGCACATGCAAAACTGCTGGGTCAGGATTGAGCTGAAAGAATTTGCATGTGTAGAAGATGGGTGTCCAGGACCCAACGTGCATGCTGCTGTAGGGAGACACTGCTCCTGAGCCAGGGAGCCTGTTCGTGAGCAGGGTAACGGGGGTTACCTCCAAGGAACCCCCTTCTCCTGATAAATGCTGGTGGTTAAAGGTAGTATTTGTGTGGTACCAGAGGTTTAAGCGTTTAAAGTCAGGGCTGGTAAGTAAGCAAAGGTTTGACACCCTCCTCCACCTCTTTACATAGGGAGACGCAGCACCGTGGCCCTTTCCGTATTCCTATTACATAGAAAAAGTCATTAAAGTGCAAGTTAAAGGGAATAATCACCGTGGTTTAAACAGACCTGTTGAGACGGCAGGAGAGGCAGCATTTTCTTTGAATTTGAGAAGTTAAAATGATGGCTTTTTGCTGTGTTTTCCTGTATAAATGCCATAAAGGTCCTTCAGAGAATTGGTTATTCCCAATTCTGCCGAGCGCGCGGGCGGGTCGTTGAGCTCCCTGCGGGAAGGGCTACGCCTGAGCATCGCTGTATCCAGCTTGAAGGTGGTTTGGGGATGAAGAAGTGCAGTTTAGGGCATCGCTCTGGTGGGAGCCTGCACTGGATGTGTTTTGGTGAGGGAGAAGGTGGATAGACCAGTCTGGAAGCTGCTGTTAAATCTGGGATACGACTAGCTGCATGACAGCCCGTTTGATGTGCTGGTATATAGCTGGGCAGGAAGGGTTCATTCTTAAATTGTAGGTGACCTTTACAGTTGTAACTTGGGGTTGTAAGTCAGTTCACAGGCAAATATTTGAAGGCTTTGTTTTAACTCCTGGATGAGATGCAGTATGATATGTTAAAAATGTGCTTTTATAGATGACTGAACCCTGAAGTCTGCTGCACAGAGGGCTGTAACGCCCTGGGAACTTCTCCAAAGGCCAGTGCTTGCACGTTATTCTGTGGTGACTGATGTTTTTTGGGGGAGGAAAAAAAGGCTTTTGGAGCATCAGTCTATATTTCTGACACTTTTGATCCTTGAGTTTCGTAGGATTTGTTAGAAAATTTGTATCGGGTCATACGTGGGGGCACAAAGTTTCGGAGCACACATGCCTTCCAGCCTGTCCTGTTCGGGATAGTTTTTATTTTAGCTGGACAGAACTAGGTATTTGGTCATGCTTTCCACCCGGGAAAAGTCCATGTGTTGTAAAACACATGGCAGAAGCTTGTCTGTAACTGGAATTCTGTGTTAATACTGGTTGGCAGCTCAAGCAGGGGCTTGGAGGGTTGAGCACTGGGAATGGTTTCAGTGCAGAGGACCTGTATGGTGTGGTGGCCTCTTGTGAGATGAGTAGATGAGAAAGGGACTTGTTTTACAAAAGACCCGACTGTTGGCTTCTGTGGAAGTGAGAGAGCTGGGGAGGAGAGGGTAGAGTTGCTCGGTGTGGTGGAACCTGGTGATGGTGTGGTTTTAGTGTGACGTTCTATCCCTGCTCCCACCACCTCCTCAAACTGATGCTGGCTCGGTAGCCATCCCCTGGCTTGAAATAAGGGCACATCCTCCTCTCTCTCTGTTGGGAGGGCTCTGTCCTTTGCCTTTGAGTTAACGAATGAACCTTTGGAAGCTGCTGTACCGGAGAAAAAGAACTTCCACGATTCCACAGCAGCATTGGGATGATTTATGCTCTTCCTCCTTGTAGTACCAAGTCTGTCCCTTCCCAGTGTTGCACTGCTGACGATTTTAATTTCTGAACAGCTGCAGCAGCTTCCAAAAGGGCATGTATGCAGTTACCTGTGGTGCCGCTGTAATTTTTGTGTGTGGCTGGGTTTCTCGAGGCCGGTCGGGGTCAGGTGGTGTTCTGTGCCAGGCTACCACAGGAGGATGCACAAGCGTTATTCCCTTTTTTGATTCTCGTACAGGAGAAATCTTTCTCAGCAGCAGAAAATCCTGCTCTGAAAGCTTGTTTTTGTGGAAGAAGGTACAGCTCAGCTGATTTATTCTGTCCCCACTTGGTGTCCGGTCACTAAATGCAGGTCAGGCCAGGCGGATGGGTGGGTGATTAGACTGCCCTGCTTTCTTAATAGGATCCTCTTTACTTAAAGCTTTCTACCAGAGGGGAAAACCGCCAAGCAGAGACCTGCAGGCACAGCTCTGTGGGGGACGAAAACACTCTTCTGGCAAGCCAGTTGCAAGCTGTTACCCTTAAGCACTTGTAGGAACTCACTTTGGGTTTTTTTTTTTCTTTCTGCAGAAAAATGGCAGTCGACTACTTTTTGCATGAGAAGATCTGGTTTGAGAAGTACAAGTACGACGATGCTGAGAGAAGATACTATGAGCAGATGAACGGGCCGGTTGGCAGCTCTTCACAGCAACAGGTAATGCTCATTCTCAGCTGGGGTTTTGCAGAGTGCTGGAGCTTTATGAGCTGATACAGAGCAGGTGATCCACCTGGAGGTGCATTTCTCTGTTTCCACTTTGAGTGGCTGCTTTTTCCAAGTGTGAGAGTCTTCTCTGGAGCCTACCCCCAGTTATGACCACTTTTGCATGACTGTCTTCTGTGGTCTGTAAAGAATTTCTCCCATACAACCAGTTTACTGGGAGATCAGATGCCCTTCTAACAAGTTACAGGTGAGAGCAGTTCATCTTTTCAGGCTGTTGTGGCAGGGATGTTATTTGTGATCCCATGTGGACACAGTTTGAGCCACAAGCCCCGAGAGCTGCGGTTTTGTTGACCAGACTGGGTGATATGCTGGGCAAAGAATTGACCTGTCCCCGTTCAGCCAGGGAAGATGCTGTTCTGTGGTTTTGGAGCAACTAAGCTTCCCTTGGCAAGGAATATTTTGGGTATATATGATGTGATTCTTGGGGAGAAAGGCACCATTGGCTCCAAAGAGACCGGGAATTATGTTCCTCTCTTTGTACCCCCTGCAATATTCAGTGTGCTCCTGCAGAAGACTGCATCGTGGTACTGGTGAGTTGGGGGGAGCATGGTACTGCTGCAGCACGCCTGAGCTGAAATCCTTTGAGCTTAAATATTAGCCCCAAATCATTACTGTGTAAAGGTACAGAGCTATCGTAACCTCTTCCTGCCATGTAAAGAGCTGTTAACTGCTTGTGCACTTGGGTGTGTAGAAAGCTGCTTAGAGTTGTCAATGGCTGTCTTGCAAATGTTGAAGGGGAAGCTTTTTGCTTAATAGCTTCTAGGAACATTCTGTTCCTGCTGCCTGTGCTCGTATAGTGGTGGCACAGCACGGAGGATGCTTGCTTAAAAAGTAGGAGCTCTGGATAAGCACTTGAAGTAGATATTAGGGATATTAAACGCCTGCAGTGCTCTTAGAAGAGGTAGACTGTTTCAGGCCACCTAAGGAGCTTCCAGTGAAGAAGTTGTCTGTGAGAGGTGGTGTGAAGGCTCCGGTGGGGATTCTGCAGCAGTTTATCAGCCGTTAGATCCACTCTCCTTAAGACCTTCCTGCAGCCTTGGAAGCGTTACCCACCTGCATGTGTCGAGGCTGTGGTATGGTCTATGTGACACGGCCTTTGGGGCTTGTGAGCAGTTTTACGTCTCCGATCTTGTTTATGGGGTTGTAGCCTGAGAGAGGCAAGGAGCGAATGGAGCATGGAAACTGAATTTGTGCCCTAGGAAGGGAATCTTCAAACCCAGGCTAAAGCACGGCAGCAGGAGGATGGGGGGAACAGGCCTTGCGCTGTCGTGCTCTGGGTCATACCTCTGGATAGAAGATTTGAGTTAGGGCTGTCACGTCTTCCTGGCATACAGTGACAGGTAATACTGTGGAAAGAGAGATCTCCAAGGAATACGAAGTGACTCCACCCCTCTGCCTGGCTGGCAGCTTTCCAAAACCGTTCAGGGTAATAACGGAGAATTGGAAAAGCTCTTGACTGGATGATCTGGTCACGTGGTCTGATGTGACCAGGGATTGCAGTCGGTGCTGCTTGATTCAGAACCGATCCTTGCAGCTGATTTGACAATACTTGCTGAATCACTGAAAGGATCCCTCCCCCACTCTTCCCCTCTTTTTGTTTTTAACTTCCCTGACCAGTTTCCCATGTTTTGTACTTTTTTAAAAGAAAATCTTGGTTCTTTCTGCACTGTTTGCAGGAGAACGGAGCCAGCACGATCCTACGCGACATTGCCAGAGCCAGGGAGAATATCCAGAAATCGCTGGCCGGAGTGAGTACCCAAGCTCTCTCACCAGCTGGCTACCCGCAACCATTTTTAGCTGTGGTGCATCTCACAGGACCCCGCTGTGACCACCTCATAGATTGTTTGGCTTCTTATTTTTAAGTTAGAGGAGAAGACTAAGGTGTGCAGCGCTGTGTACCACCAGCATAGCTCCATCCCATCAAGAGCATCATTACTACTAGAGTGCATGCTGCTTACCTGCTTGCTAGCCTGCAGTGCTGCTTAAAAACTAACTGGATTTGGGTTTAAATTCTTCATCTGTGCATTTCTTTTTCTCCTGGTGGAATGTTCCCACCAGTCTTACCTAACAAGTTCTGAGTTGCTATAAAACTAAACCTTGCTGGGTAGCAAAGCACTGAGCTGCCAGCAGGAGTATGTATGTCTCTTTTTGGAGTACACCGAGCTGCCACCTTCTCTTTCCTGTTTTGCTTTCAGTTAGGGTATGTGCAAAAAAATGGTTATTTTCCATCTGCTGCTTCTAGGGAATTCAACTTGGCTACCAGCTCTTAAGTCTTGGAGCATCCTGAGGAGGTCAGTCCTTTCTAGAGGTGTTTTTGTGCTGATATGTATAGACAGCACTGTTAAAACTGATTTTTCAGGGGGAATCTGGGATCTTCAATTAATAGGTGGACTGGTTTCCATGGGTGAAGAAAATTTGCTGGATACAGCCCGCGTGTCTTGATTTCTTCCCTTTGCGGTGAGACTGCTACATACCTGTGCTTACCTTCCACCTGAGGGTATACATCCTTTATCTTGATTCGGCCTCCTAACTCCCTCTTGAGGTGTTTAACACCCCCAGTTTCTACCCAGAGTAGTACTATAGCAGGGAATCTTAGAATCATAGGATGGTTAGGGTTGGAAGGAAACTTAAAGACCATCTATTTCCAACCCCCCTGCCATGGGCAGGGACACCTTCCACTAGACCAGGTTGCTCCAAGCCTCATCCAGCCTGGCCTTGAAGACATCCAGGGATGGGACATCCACAGCTTCTCTGGGCAACCTGTTCCAGTGCCTCACCACCCTCTCTGTGAAGAATTTCTTCCTGATATCCAATCTAAACCTTCCCACTTGGAGTTGAGCCTTTCTCAAAGGGAATATTTCATATTCCTCCCACCACGAGTGAAAGGGAGCTGGATGTTTGGGGGAGATGTGAAGGAGTTAAACTAACTGCTTTCTCTGTGGTGGTCTCACTCTGCCTCTTGAACTCCAGCTTCTGCGTCAGCTCATGTGAGCGATCCAAGATAGTGAGTATTGCACTTGGAAACTTGGGTGGGGAAGGAACAGGGCAAATCTGAGGAAAGGATGGTGGGAAAAGGAGTTAAATTTGCTTTGTTAGCTTCAGGGGTCCCAAATACAGCATGGGAATCAATAGAAAGTTGGGAGATCTTAGTAATGCTAAAACCAAACCAAAACATGCTGAGGAGGAAGATAATTGGAAGTTTTCTAGTGCTTGTCTCTTCAGCATCAGTATTTCAGCCAACAGCTTAGGGAAGATTTTCCTGACTGGCTCTTTTAAGTTCAGATCTAAAAGACACATTTGGGCTTCCAGTAGAAACTGTCAGGACCTGTCCAAGACTTCAGTGTAGAAATGAGCCCCCATCCCAAACAGAGTTGGAGAACACTTTGCATAAATGGCAGTAAATCCCTTTGGAAAGACCTTTTCAAGCTGGGGAAGGTTGCTGCTTCCTCCAAGACCAGTTTACTCCAGGAGCAGAGGCTGGATGTGTTGAGTAGGGACAGAAAACCCAAACCCAAATCATCTGGCAGTGCTGCTGCCCTACTCTGCAGGCATATTCAGGTTTGTTGGTTTGCCAAAGATAAGGAGTTTCTTGCCCTGACCTGCGACTCCACAGGAATTGCTGCTTAGTGTGAGAAGCGTGTAAGTTTGGATTGTCCAGATCCTGTAATGGGGAAGACTGGGAGAACTGGCAGAGCACCAGACCAAAGCCAGCAGAGAAATTGGAGAATAAAGTCCCTTTGCATCCCTCTGGCACTTGTTGGGGTTAGTGCTGAATCAGAATTCATCTGATGGATTTTTGGTTCTTCTGAAGAAGGCTTGGTGGCCTTGATTTAAAGTCTGGACTGAGCCATAGGGCCTTAAAATTGGGATCTGGAGTGTTGCTTGGATAAGCAGAGCACATGGCAACAGTATCTCCTTGCTGTTTTGTAATCCCTGAATTACTGATCACAGAATGGTTTGAAATAACCTTAAAGCCAATCTAGTTCCAACCCCCCTGCCATGGGCAGGGACACCTTCCACTAGACCAGCTTGCTCCAAGCCTCATCCAGCCTGGCTTTGGACACTTCCAGGGATGAGGCATCCACAGCTTTTCTGGGTAAGATCTTCTCTGGTCGTGTCTTACCCTGGCTGATACGATACCCCAGAGAGCTCACCCTTTCAGTTTTTCCACACGTTGCGGCATCTCTGCCCTGGAAGCCAAAGTGATAAACCACAGTCGGATCTTCTGTGTCGGTGTGTGGGTTAGAAAGCTGCTGAGAACCAAGTGTGAAACATCAGCTTCTGTAACTTGTGTTTCTGAAGGATCCTTGGCGATTTTGGACAGCCGTGGCATAAAGCTGGCTTGACTTCAGAGCATTTTAAACCTTGAGTTTACGTTTCAGAAAGCCGAATTTATACTGTCTACAAAACGAGAGAGAAGCATGTTTTTATAATCAGGAATTAGTCTTTTCTTCCACCTGAACATAAACCTTGGGTTTACGTTTCAGAAAGCCAAATTTATACTGTCTGATCTACAAAACGAGAGAGAAGCATGTTTTTATAATCAGGAATTAGTCTTTTCTTCCACCTGAACATGCAGAGTTATTGTCAGGGGTCTAAAGATGTCACAAGTGAGGAGTTGGCTTTTGCTAGATGGGAAGATGGAAGATTAGTACATTTTGCTGTGAAATTCAGCCAAGGCTGGTTTTAGATCTGCTTCAGCTGGGGGCTGTTGTGCTGAAATGTGTGAGTGAGCATTAGTAGGGTCGAGGCAGTGGTCTGTACCTCCCAAAGGAGGGTACAAAGCTCTGACGCTGGAAACATTTGTTTGCACATACCTTTCGTCCCACTTTGCATGGTCATCTCTGCTTTGAACAGTCTCTCCAGTTGACATCTGCTCGATCCCTAATGCTTTCCCAGATGTAAAGGTGTTGACACGTGCGGTGCTGCGGCCGGTGGCATTGAGACCGCAGACGGCTGGGGACCAGAGGCACGGGAAGGACTGACTCGCCTGACATCATAAGCAAGTCCGGTAGAGCGGGTGACAACTCTCGCTTCCTAAACCCTTCCCAGAGGTGTAACAAAAGGGATGTCACTGGGGAGGTGGCTGGTGTGAGAATCTGAAACTGTTATTCCTCTCCTTGCCGAAGCTCCCTCTTGCAAAGCCTCTGTGTCGGTGTGTTTGGGTTTAAAACAAGGGAAGCTCCCAGATCTTGGGAAAATGTAGGCCACGTTCACAAGCACATTTTTGTGTGGGGAATGGTCACACCAAGGGCAAGGTCCTGCACATGGGTCAGGGCAATCCCACTGCAAGGACAGGGTGATCAGAGAATGGATTGGGAACAGCCCTGAGGAGAAGGACTTGGGGGGGCTGGGGGTGAGGAGCTGGCCATGTGCACTGGCAGCCCGGAAAGCCAACCCCCTCCC